GTAATTGAACTAACTAATCATTGAATTTGATATCATAAATAAAAGAAAAAAGACTTGTTCAAGGTAACTAAGAAACAAGAATCTCCGAATTTCAATATCTTTCTTTATTACTACAAAAAAAAGATATGAAATACAGTCTTATGACAAGAATGAAATAATAAAAAGAAACAAATAAAACTAACAAAAGAACGAGTTATTGATTTTCTTCATCCTCAAGAGTGATAGACTCTTGACCTTTCACAACATCTTCAATCTTCAAATCATCAGAGTGTTCATCTGACAATCTTTTAAATTTAGAGCAATATGCCAAAAGAGCGAAGAAAATACCAATTAAAGAACCTGCAATAATATCACTAAAATTATGATGATAATCACGGGTTCTACTTATTGCAACAGTACCAGCAATAATAAATGGTAAAAGGACAATTAGCATTCTCCAAGATTCATGACTAGCAATACTAAAAGCATGAATTTGACCAGCAATAAGAAGTGCTAAGAAAGTCATTCCATTAAAAATAGCTGATGAATGTCCAGAAGGGAAACTCATATAAGCGTCATTAATTTCATTTGGCTTAGCATCAATCCTTGCATAAAAATGAGGACGAGGACGACCAGCAAAAATTTTGCCCATGTTTGTTACACCAAGACACATAGAAGCAGAAAGACCTAATGAAAGTAATGAAAATAAAAGAAATAGTGATGACTTTTTCTTTATGGTTATTAAAAGAATAGTCAAAACAGGTGGAATATATCCAATAATAATGCATGCCCATGTTGGTACTGAAGAACTATATAATGGATATAAAACATTCACATTTTCTCGGTCTTTTGGAATATCCATATGGTGTGGAGTAACAAAAACACAAACAATAGATATTATAACAAAAACAACAATAACTACAATATCATAAATAACATTCAACAAAACACTTTTATGAAGTAAAGGGAGATATAATTGTTGAAGGATATCCATTTTAAAAGCTACCACAAATTTGAAATTATAAGATTTTGCATATTTTCAAGATTTAGAGATTGCAAATAAAACAAAAAACTAACTAGAAGCTGAAAAAAATCAAAGAAATCAATCTTCTAATCAATCTACTATTGATAATACACCAAGATGAATTAATGAATCAACTGTTGAATTTCTTAACACACATTGGACTTCACTATTATCCAATTTTAATAGTCCATTTGTTGTATAAATGCTTGGATTTTGTGGCAAATCATCCATTCCTTTAGTAACATTTGCCCGAACATTAATATAATTGTTAATAGGTGGATAAAGGGTATCACTTACAACATCAACCTCACTATTAACACTATATTCACCAACAATTTTACAATATTGCTTAAAGTATTGAATTTCATCATTAGTCATTGACGCACGAATATTTACTGGAAGTGCTGTTCCAATTTCCCATCGAATATTTTCAATACGTTTTAATCGTTCACTCCTATTCATAAATAAGACTATTCAAAATAAAGAATAACAAATTAACAAACAAATAAATCTCATATAAATCTTTTAATCGTTGACGAAGTGCATTAGCATACACCATTCGTGGATTCAATATTTGTGATTCTTTAAATCCAGTTAGTTCTTCTTTTATTTGTTCAATTAATTCTTTGTTTGGTGGAGGTAAAGTATTTCCGCTACGATCTAATTCTTTAATAGCTTCAACAAGTTTTTCATGAATGATTGATGCCATTAATCCCCCCTATTTTGTAGTATATTCTGAGATCTTCTTCAACCATCTATTCCATTTACAGAAAAGATCTTATGATCTCATAAATTCCTGTTTTAAAATGAGTGAACCACAAACAGAAAAAATTGGGTGTATTCCTGAAGCCACTATTGCTGGTATTCCTGTTGACAAAAGTCCTATTGACGACTCAAATAATGTTGAACTTCCACCACCAGGAACATCAGTTGTTGCTTTCATTTCAAAGTTATATGAATTAGTCAATAACCAAGAAACTCAAAACTTTGTTTGTTTTTATTTATTAGAAATAGTGTGTTACATGTAATTATTGTTATATTTGATTCGTTTAACCATTTTTACGTTAAAATGAATCGGTGTTCTGTCAATTTTTTATGAAAAGACAAATAAATAACTTTCAATTTCTTTTAAAAAAATAAATGATTTATGAATAGATTTGTTGGAGTAATGAATTTAATAAAAAAGCTATTATGATTCCTGATCCTGTTGAGTTCTCAAAACAGATATTACCTAAATTTTTCAAACATTCTAATATTTGTTCGTTTGTTAGACAACTTAATATATATGGATTTAGAAAGGTTTGTTTTTCTATATTTTTGATTATTATTAATATTTTGTGGACCATTTTTGGTCTATTGGTTTTCATTTTTATTTGACTCAAAATCTTCTCTTAGTATATACACTAAAAAGTTTTTATTCCATTGTTTATTTATTTTGTAATTAATTTATAGTTAGAAACTCAAACCGGATTTTGTTTTCGACATGAAAGTTTCATTGCTGGTCATCCTGAATTACTTCCTAATATCCAACGAAAAAAACCAACTCCTCATAGAAAAAAACAACCTGGTGATGATACTACTTCATTGTATCAATACTTACTCACACAACTCATGCAATTGCAAAAACAAAATGTAGAAACACAAACCCAAATAAATACACTAAAGGAAATGCTTTATCAATTAAAAATGAGAGAAGATACTTTGGAAATGAAATTATACCGTCTTTCTGAAACAGTTATGCCAAGCTTAAATTATGGGTCAATGGCATTCAATCCTAGTCTTCTTCCTCAAATGGTAAATCAACAAAATACTTCTTCTACTACAATGTCAAATGGAAATGACGCAGCAATGTCAAATTTTAGTTCATTGATTAATTTTTCTACTCAAAACGCAGTGCAACAACCCTCAAATCAACAAACCGTACATTCGCAAACATCACCTCAAAACAATGGCATTCAAACACCAAATCAAACCCAACAATTAGCTGCAGCTTTGTCTCAATGGAACCAACAAAAAAATTCAGAAGAACAACCACAACCTTCATCAAATCAACAAGGAGACTCGAATGGGTTTGTCCAATGGGATTTTCAATCTCAAATTCCATGGAAGTTTTAAGGGTGTATTTCTTTATTTATTGACTTTAAGAGTGGTTGTGTCTTTCTTTTATTTTTATTTTTTCTTTCAGAATTATTTAGAAAATTATTTACTCAATTAAAAGAATATTATTTCTTGTTGATTCATCTTTTTTCTATAATTAAATTTGATTCGTATTTTTAATGATTTTAGAGACATGAAGTTGATATGGTAGAGATAAAATATACAAACATTAAAGTGAATATAAAATATTATTTGACTATCACAAATATTATATGGTTATGATGAAGTAATTTAATAATAAATAT